AACATCATGAAAACACGTGTTTTTTTCGTATGTTCAGGACTCCAGGCCCCACAGCGCACCCGTCTGTTCTTTTTTGGGTCTCAGGTTCAGGGAACAGCGCGCCTTCTAAATACTGCCCATATTTTATCTGCAGGTTGATTCCACACAGGACACTTTGTGACAGAAATTCGGGGTCCCTTAGTATTCTGAGTGTTCTTGGTTCTTCCTAAAGCAGCACGCGTGCATGCACCCTCGAACAAAATATCTTTTAGGAGAATCCAGCGCTGCGTCATGGTTTCATGTTTAGCTACTGCCCAGTCTTTCCCCCCTGCTCCACCGCAATGGCAGCCCAAATGCTACTAGTTGGCGGCAACAGGGACCTGCAATCAACATCTCAACCACTCAGAATGTGCCTGTCCAGGGGTCTTCCGCATGAACCCAGTTCATACTGTGGAATTCTGAACAGGACCAGCTGAGATTCTCACTCCAGCGCTACTCCGGTCAAGAGCCCGAGGCCCTCAAGCATGCACGTGGAGCTTCCTGCTAGCAGTGGTACAAGTAGGATAGCTGCGAAAGTAAGCTCAGTTGCTTTGGATCCTCAAAACCAACCTTCTAGAACCCTGAGCCTCGAAGTAGGCTAGGGAGTAGCTTTGCGCTGCATAAAGGTCCAGTGGGAAATTGTGTAGTTTGCATTGAATAGCACTGTATGAGTTGTGTTGGAACGTATTTTCATAATATTCGGAAGTACAGTTACATGATGAGGGAACTTTTGTGGAAGATTTTGATGTTACCAGGGTTTCTCAGAACTATGTTTATTTGTGCCCTGACAGTAGTGGACTACATGATTGTGCGGCTGAGAAAAGAGGAGGGCCCATATCTTGAGAAATTTCCATTTTTGGATGAGCTCTTCACGGAGTTTCGTGGATTCGGCGCATTGCGCCTGTGGGCCTAGTTTTTCTGCAGCTCTACGACTTACAAATCCGCAGCATTTTGCTGACTGTGCCAGTGTAGTTGCCTTCTTGCTGCCACTCCTGCCGTGGCTGGGACGCACTTGGAAAACATCCGAGTCACAATGGACCCAATGTATCAGTGGGATTTTGGGGCTCCCTAGAAAGTTCTGTCAATTAATGAAAAGACAGGATTTTCAGGCAAGGAGAACAGAACTGCCAAGGGAGCCATGTCCGCCGAGAAGGACGTGAAGGATGTTGAGGCTGAGGAGGCACCCAAGGAGTCGAAGCTTGGCTTTGTGGGCATGGAGTCCAGCATGGTTCAGAAAAGAAAAATATCAAATCATGCTCCTGCATCCTTCTGTAAAGTCTGTGCAGTATTTAATCAGCAAGAGGTGTCAGGAGTGTTGTTGAGGTGCTATTTCTTCCTTTTGACTTCTTCCGTATCTTAATTGTCTTTCTTCACAGCAGTGTTGGAATGCCTTGCATAACTTTAGCAGATGCCCCGTTGTACTGGCTAGCAGGCTTTCGGGGGGTTGACTTTTCATTTTCTCCTGCAGCCAGGGTTCGCCATGGGCTTAGGGTGTAGGGTCTGATATGGTCGCGGTCACGATGCATCCCTGCATTCCGGCTTCTCTGTACGACCTGTCTTTGGAACTCCTACTTATCATCGGTCCTTGCTCGAATTCTCTTTCAAGTCTGGAACTGCTACTGCCATTGGAAGAATTCAAACTCACATTTGGGAGTGAGTCGAAATCCAGATCCCCATCGCCCACACGGACAAGCCTGTAACTAGGGCCTTGTTACATACCCTTTGTCGCCGGCTATAAAGGATTTAGAATACTCATGGTACTGAAGGGCTTCTCGCGCCAGGCGCGCCCCTGCTACTGCTACGTACCCCTTGTAACGGGTTATGTCGAATGTGTGTGGGCCGGGCCTTGTTACATCCCTTTGGTTTTGGCCCGCTCCCATTTAGGTTCCGTCTCCTAAGCGGTCCGGCACAATCTCATCATGCCCATACTGGCCTCCACCATACCTGCCACTTGAAGATCCTGGAGAGCGTCAAATCCTGTACCTCATCCCCAAAGCAAACTGAGCCGGTGTTTTGCTATTCTACCTAAGATCTCATGATGCAACACACCCTTCCGCGAAACCCTTCCGTGAGCATCCGTGAACTCTTCCGCCGCCCAGAGCGTCTTCAATTTTTGGACATCCTGCCTTTTTTTGATTCAACGAACCTTTCGCGAACCCTTTTCGCTTCCACCGAATCTCTTTTACTCATGGAATACTGTACCATACATACTGGTGCACTTTCCTTCCGCAAGCCATTCGCTTCCACGGGCCTTCCGCATCCTTCCGCACAGTGAGCTCAGACTTTGTCGCCAACAAGTTAACTGAAGACAAGCGGAAAAAAACGCTGCTCAGCTGCAGTGACAAATGAGAATGCTCCAACCATATACTCGTCAGAAACATGTGGTCGTGTATGATTATGGTAGTGCTTCTGGGTTTTGGAGACAAGCTGGTCTTTCGGCAAAAAAATGCCACCACCGCCGCCGCTACAGCCACCGTCACCCGCCACCGCCACCGCCGCAGTTGCCGCCACCGCCTACGTGACCACCATGCCTCCGCCGCCGACTGCCCCCACCACCGCCGCCGCCGCCCACACACCCCTGCCGCCAGCGCCACCCCAAAAACAACACAAAAATCCGCCAGCACGAAAATCAGCAGAGTCGTCGCCACCAAGCCATCCCCACCACCCCCACCACCACCACCGCCGCCGCCGCCGCCCCCACCGCAACGCAGGCTTGGACAAGCCTTTAAGCTTCTAAGCCAGCTCCAGCATCGATTTCGCGGAAAAAATCACTGTGAACATTCGATAAAGCTTACGCATGATAATTCAGCGGCTCGCCCACCCTCAGTTATGGAAATTCGTAAAGACAGATGTTTAGTAAATGTACCGGGCTTCGCGGCAGGTTTGGCACGAGCCGCCATCACCCCATGATTGTAAGAACCATGAGGTTTTAGTCGCCAGCCCCGCATGTGCTCTCTTCTGACCACAACACATGTGATCCCTGACCCCAAACCGAAACCCCTCGATCCCAAATCACATTGAACAGAATGCTGATGCCGCCAGGTTTGTATTGCATGCAGGTTAACCCTGGCCGCGATTCAAAACCCTCCTTCTGGCGTTGTGTGTCTGACTGAGCCCGTTTGTGTTGAGTATCCAGCGGGCCTGCAATCCTAAGATCGATAGAGACAAAAGTGGCAGCTAGATGCATCGAGAGTGTTTCTCTGGTGCTACGCGAAGTCAGCGGCACCCGCGACTTCTCAACTCGCCCAATCAATCACAGAACCGCCTCGTGTCAGCAAATCTGCCCCGCACTGCTCAACCAGGAAATACGCGGGGCTTCAGTTTAATTGACTGACTTGAGAAAAGTCCCCATGCAGCATAAGTATCTTGGCACCCTAAAAGGTTGATTATGCTGCTAGTCTAAGCGATTTAGGCCCACATCACCAAAATCTAACCACCTGAACTCTACACTCTAGACCCCTAAACCTTAACAACCAATTCTAAGCTTTTAGCCCGAGGTTCGGCGGTTGCGATGCCTGCTCCGGGGTCAGCTGCACTCCCGATGGCCTCATAGGCCTCAACACCTATGAGCCTTACACTGGAATCTGCTAAATAACCCTTGAATCTGACCATCCTAATCTTATTTACTTGCATCTGATTATCTCCAGAGGGGCCAAACACTTCGGTCCCCCAAGTGACTCGGATCCCATGAGCTATAAAACCTGCTTCTGGGGGCCCCTTCCATCAGGTTCAGGGTTCGAGGGTTTAAAGCTTGTGGTTTAGGACATTTTAGGATCCTGAAGGGTTGAGAGTTTAGAGCATTCTATGGTTAGGGTGTTAGAAGGGTTTGAGAGCCTAGCATCTAAACGCTTTTCGGGAAGCCTGAGACCCCAGGCTCGGGTGCATTTGGGTTGCGCGTTTGGGGTTCAGGGTCATCGTCGAGCCTCTTAGGAACAAGCACCCTTCGTTAAGGACTGGAAGTACTTGTGCATTCCGGCCTTGCCCTGCTTCGGCCCCACGAAGTCACCGCCCTTGCTGAAGCCGAACGCGAAGCTTCCCCTGATGTTGCCTCTGGGATGCAGTGTGACGGAGTGCGAAAATGTTGGTTCCTTCTTGAGGTCCTTGCCCTGGGAATTGTCTTCTCATTGGACATGTACGCAAGCGGTCTCTGACTCATGATGCTTCTGAGCTTCCCAGGGCTCAGAAGGGTTGAGTTCGAGATGTCAGGGTTTGGGGTTTGAGGCCTTGTTGGGTTTTCATCCCTTCTCGTAGTCGTATTTGCACATTCGACACGGAAACTGTAGGAGCGGCATCGCTGCATAATGGGCCACTATCAACATGCCAGGCTCTCTTATCTCAAGGATTTCAGATAGCGGGTTTAGTGTCGTCATCTCGTCAATGCACGAAACCCTAGATTTTCTGCAACCCTCTTCGCAAACCACAAATTGCCCCAACAAATCCTGAAGCCCACGAATTGTGCTTACTTAGGCTTTACCTGAGACCTTCTGTAAGGTCCCTCATCATGGGCTTGCAGCATGCATTGGCCATGTTGGGAGGCCTGAGCCTGGGACACATGGGGTACGGACGCAGATTGAGAGAGCCTAGTTTTGGGAAACTTCCATGTCAGGGTCCTTGATAGGAACCCTGGGCAATTGTTTGGTCGATTGTGGGCCGATCCGTAAGCTGCTAGAACTCGAGTAATTTCATGGCATATCATGGCATCCTTTTGAGGTTGTTTGCAAGAACGCGGGACACAAACAAGCTTCAGGCAAGAGACTTTGTGTTGTGATTGTTCTTCCATGCTATGGACCATGCCATTTGGTCGGAACACTTGGACGAAAGTCCGCAAAGAGCTCGGTGACTGGAGGGAAAGCGGAGCAGGGTCTCCGAAACACAGCAGCTATTTTCCTGGTACACTTCTAGTTCGCTAGTTTGCGGTTTCAGTCCTCAGTTGGATGGGTTGCAAGTGGAACCTCTGCAGCACCGCTACGGAAAAAGATCCACGCGACATATTGGAGCTATTGTTGCCTGATTCCCTTTGCATGGTGGCTTGGAAGGGTTCTGGGCTTCTTTGAAGGAAGCCCGAAGAGGGCTCTTCATCCGCAAGAACTCCCCAACAGGTGCTTAAGACCAAAGATCAAAAACTGAAACTACACAGGCCTCAAGAAGCTCCCGAGGTCGCCAGGTCGCCAGGTATGGAGTCGCAATTTATGGAGTCGCAAAGGGCTTCGGCAGTTCCTGCCAGGCATCATCACTCCTCCTTCTCTTATCTCCGGCGATGCATGCTTTGCATGGCAGTTGGACCAGGACTACGTGTTGTTTGCTTAGGGGTTAGGGTTTCACAGATTCCTTCGGCCAGTTGAGGTGTGGGATCTGCCAGTGATGAATCTGGAAGTTGGGGACTACATGCTGCTTTTACCCACTTACGGGCTGTTTGCTGCCGTATGCGACGACAGTCCTACTCATACTTGGCTTACGACCGATCAACTGTAGGGTCGGGTGTAGGGTGTTTCATCTTCGAGAAACTGAATCATGGAATGGAACCTTGGCTTGCTGCATATTTCCCCCGATTCCCATGATGGTCTCCAACTGCGCCTATCATCAGCTCCGGTCTTTGTACATAGCACCAGCCAGTGTTTCTTGGCAGATTAGTGGCAATTTCGGGTAAGATGCCTCATCTGGGCCAAACTCGATACCTACACCTCAAAGGAGGACTTGTAGTCTTTCCGACAATTTCTTGCAAGGCTTGCTTTGAGATGCTGTAGCCAGGCCTAGTCTCGGAAGCAGCCTGAGAGAAGCCCCCTTCAGCCGCCTAGGTGCTGCAAACAGGACCCTTAATTTTGAGAAACCCTTGCGCGGCGCCAGGAACTTTGCGACTCCAGGCAGCTGCTTGGAAGCAACTGAAGCCTGCATGGGTGAATAGGTTGCCGCTCGGTTTTCGAAGATTTATAAGTCTGGTTCACCTTAAGTGCAAGAGGTGAGAGCGAGATTATCGAGGATCTCCTCAAACAGAAGTTGAAGTGGCCAGTGTAGTATGATACTTGTTTCGTCTGGTGTTCGGCACAGCACCATAGAGTGTGTGATGGCACAGCGAACCTTTGAGATCGTTTGAGCAGACCTTGACTCAAAGTGGGTGTGTGCACCCGTTAACAGAGACCCACGGGGAGCGGGGGCCATGACATGAAAACAGTAAGGGTCTCGAGAAATCCCCTCTTTTTACCAACAATGTTGAACCCTGTCAAACCATAGTGGCCCTCTGAACCTAAACATATCCTACCCCAAAGCACCATTAATAAGTCAAATTGCTTTTCACTGACGAACATCAGTCGCAAACCGTCAAATCATACTTTCTGAGGTACATGATCTCCGCAGCACTCATCTGCTCGGGTCTGCTGTCGTTGGTTCAAATCCTTCGCTGGAAGTTGATTGGAGGCTGCGGTCAGACTGTAACCAGACGAAGAAGACGTAGAAGACGACGTGGTGGTAATGGAATAGTAGTAGTAGTAGTAGTAGCAGTAGTAGTAGTAGTAGCAGCATCAGCAGGAGCAGTAGTAGCAGTCATAATAGCAGGAGGACTAGGAGCAGGAGGCGTAGGAGTAGGAGTAGGAGGAGGAATGGGGAGTGAGGTTTAGTACTTTGCTGCCGCTTCTGGCTGAAGCTGGTTCTGCTACGGTTGTGGCTCATGCTGCTATTGCCACTGCCCTCCTCTAGTACTAGTTGCCGACATCGCGGAAGATGACAACTAGGATGATGACGATGACGCCCACCCCTGACAACAGCCACTACCACCATCATGACAATGACGTCTACTGCCGCTGTATCAGAGCTGGAGCCACCCCTTTCACAAGCCACAAGCATGGGCATGGGGCCATCGGTGTGTTGTTTTTGGATGATCAATATGACACTATGAGTTGCAGTGCGAGCACCAGCTACGACAGCTGTTGCTTTCATTTCAGCTCTGCAAAGTATCCAGTGAATACTGATGCTCCCGTAGGTCTCTATTCTATTCCTGGTGCCTGGACTGACGATGGCAGTGACTGTGGCTAGGGATATGATGGCAAGACCGGCCATGGCAATGACAATCGCTGTGATTGTAAGCCTCACAAAGGTGAGACTGCTAATCAAGGTGAAATCTAAGAGCAATCATAGCAAGCATGATTGTAGGTACAGCCCAAAGGGTCACTCTACCACTCGGTGTCGAAGAGCACACTTTCTGGCCACTTGGACCCTAAGATTTCATGCAAGTTTGTCAGGCTACACCCTCGGGACCGGCCTTGTCTCCGTGATGGGTACATCCTTCACCTTCCTGCCCATTGCACGCGAGGTGGTGGTGTCCGAGATCCAAGCAGGCAGGAGCGGTATGGATGCCTATGGAAAGTTCTTGGGCACCTGCCTGGCAGCGTCCCTCACGGAGATCTTCATCTCCTTCGTGCCTCCACGCTACCTGAAAAAGATCTTCCCGCCTGTGGTCAGCGGCACCTGCGTCATCCTCATTGGTGCTGGGCTTTCAGTCGCAGGCCTGAAGACCCTCGCCAGCAAAGTGAGCGTCTCCGGTTCTCAGCACGTCTTCGGCAGACTGATGTCCAGCAGCGCGCAGGTACTGGGGTGGTGGTGTGTTCTGCGCGGAGAACGACATGTCCCGTGCTGCAGCGTTCGGTGCACCACAGGCTTTCTGGGGTGGGTTGAGGGCAGACCTGTCCTAGGTTGCAACTCAGTGTTCAATGCGCCTGGGAGAGCCAGGCATGCACTGGCAACGGTGACGTGGCCCTTGCTTATGGTGATGTGCATTACTTCGGCCTTGGATTGAGCGTCATGCTTTTTTTGGCGGCCCTGCTGCACAAAATCTTGTGGGAAGGTGCAGCGAGTTGCGATTCCCGCTTTTTAAGAGACGGAGTTCAGGGCTGTAGTAGTGTGAAACCACGATGCTGATACCGTTGGGGGCTTGTTGAAAGGGATGTTCTTACGCATCATTCAAGTGCACGTAGCAGCGCTTCCAATGCAAAATCCAACAGACGGCAGATGTAAGGTCTTCATTCAGGCGGTCGGCTCTCCCTTCATGAAGAACTGCTCCGTGCCTTCCATCGGAGATCTTTCGTATTCAAAGGCAAGAGGCAAGTGCCTCCCGGGTGTCGGGGTACAGGAGCTTTCGGAACAGAGTTCAGAGGCTCTGCTTTGAGGGCATCTACTTTTCTGCTACCGGCAAATGTGTACCCTGAACCCGCTTCGCTCAGTTCCATTGAAGGGTTTGGGGGTCTCTCAGACAGTCCTGACCCATAAGTTTGTCGACCAATTCAATTGTCTAGAGCTACACTGAATTCAAAACGCTGAAGAAGCCCACAACCCAGGCTCTGTGGCCCTGGCTCTCTTTTTCGGCTTCTTCGTTGCGGGTGTGTCTTCCTACACATCAGAGACTGGGGCTTGCTTAAGCTTAGCCAAGGAATTGTTAATTAGGTTTCTGTCGACTCATGAACTGACCACTTTGTGATTCTTGAAGTTGGGGCTTTGTCGCAGAATTTCTGTTCTTCAACCCATAAGACTTGGGCCTGGGAGGGTATCCAATCTCGACAACTGTTGTCGAGCCTGTTTTTGTAGCTTAATTTTTGATTACTTGAACCAAAGGAGAGTGGCCAGTCTTTGGCGTATGTGAACAGCAACAAGATCGATGCTGCAGGTGCTTTCACCTTCCTCTGGACTGCTGCCCTGAAGGGTAAGTAGGAGCCAAACAACAAAGTAGGCATCCATCATCGGGCTTGTAGGGTTTCCAGAGCCTGGAGGCTTATGTTGCCTTCTGAGTCCCGATGTAGGCCCTACCCTACACTGGTATGAACTTCGTTTGGCTTGTCAAAGGTGGTCCACATGAGAACCCTTGTCACAGATGCCGTGTCCGCATGGCGCGTGAAGAGGTCTAGGTTATGGAGCTAGCTTCTCCAGAATACCGCAGAGTGTGGGTTCCTCTTTCCGTTGAAGTTCCCCTCCAGTAATTTCTCATTTTTTAGACATGTCTAAAATTTTTTAGACATGTCTAAAAAATTAGAACTATTCCAGTTGCAACAATCAGGTGATGTGGCAAAGTCACATGGCCACGCTCCATCCTGCAGCCCTTATGGGCTCCATTTTGTAGGCACTTAAGCCTTCGAGTCCCGAAAGGAGGGACGAGCTAGCAGCCAGAAGGTTGCCTATTTCTGGAGGCGAAAGGAGCGACGCTGTGTTGCCCTGGCCTTGATACGCTTGCTTTCTAGTCTTGTGTGCGGGGATACACTCCTAGAAAGCGTGTCGGCCTTGTTTCATAGTTAGCCTTAGCCGAAAGTCATGGTGAACTCTGGCTTCCAACAGCTTGGGCATCAGATTCAAGCCCCACAAATGGGGCAGTCAACAGCGCTTGGTCAAGCAGGCACCCATACTGCCCTAGAACTCTTGATGAAAGAGCTCGTCAGCCCACTGACGTCAGCTCTAGCGAGCAGCGTGCAGTCTTTCCAGGATGACTTGGTTAAGGGCCAGTCTCAAAGACGTCGTATTGACACAGAGGGCTGCCCTCTCACTGGCAAACCTGATAAGCTCATTCGTGAGCTCGACGTGGGCTTCCAAAAGATCTTCAAAGACTTGCGAGCAAAATTTTCCAAGAGATTGGATTTATGGGTGACGCACACCAACAACAAGATCAAATTCGAGTCCCAGATGCACAAGGTATTCCGGGAAGAAGCTGGTAGAAACTGGCGGTGGCCTCAAGAATACAGACACAGTGGGGCCAGGTCCACGGTAGTGGATACGGCGCTGTTGCAATCACTCAGCGAGGATACCTTCATGGAAGCATGTGACATTGACAAAGCATGGCAACGTCTCAGGCTTCATCATGCTCAACAGTGCCAAGCCTTCGTGTCCGAGCATGGTTCGAACATGATTAATTTCTACAGTCGCCTCATAAGCCCTGAGAGTATGACGAATGAGCTTCAAGATGAGCTCACTACTTTCTGGCAGTCCCCGGAGGGCAATGTGTATTCTGAAGATGAGAGAGTCTTCTTCACCAAGCGCATGCAAGAGATTCTGTTGCTCGTCCGTCGACTTGGCCTTACAGATGCACAAAGACAATTTGACCAAGCCAAGGCGAAAGAGAAAAAAACGTCAGGAAGCTTTAGAGGAAGCGAAGACTTTATATGAGGCAGCAGATGTCAAGACCTTGGTTGCTATGGCGAAGTTAGCTGATCACCGAGGCAAGACATTCAAGGAAGGCACTTTGCTCCACTACTTGACGACGCAACAACCTGAACTGATTGAGCGATACCTGAAGGACATGCGCAAATCAAAAAGTTCATCGTCGAAGGAGAACCGCAATCCAAGTTCTTCCAGGCCAAGATCAGTGAGATCCAGAGCATCAACAGGCACGGCATCTAAGCCTTCGTCAGCCTCACATGCATCGAGGAGATCCGCAACATCAAAGCGCTCGCAGAGATCTCTTCTTTCAGTTCAGCCCCTCGCCAGAGCCAAGACAGGACAGCAAGCAGAGGCCGCAGCACATCGCGGAGAGCGAAGACACCCGCGGTCCGCGGAAACCAAGACCAGCGCAATAACAGTACAAAGCGCAATCAAAGCAGGCCTAGAGACAAATCAGATGCGAAAGCCAAGGGCAAGGGAAAGAACAAAGCCAAAAGGAGACAGGGGTAGCTTTAAGCATAGGCACGCCTTCGCGTCACAAGAAGCGTGCCAAAAGAAAGTCATTCTGGTCAGATGCGGCTTGTACTCAGATCAACTTTGCCAAATTTGTCTTCACACGACTTTTGAAGCTGAACATTGCTTGCCTGTTTGGCAGACCAGATGCAAACAAGGTGCATGTGGTTGGATGTTCCCGTACGGACGTTCCGAGATACGTTCACAACTTGCTTGCGAAATCTATCAAGTTCATTCCTCAGCCCAGATGTGACGGCTTCGCAAGTCTCACAGGCCAAAAGCATGAGATTTTGAGGAAGTTTTCATGGCTAATGAAATGTCCGTGGAAGCATTGTAGAGCTGAACGGCTCAGCAAGATGTCCAACAGTGCTGGTCATTCCGCTCAACTTGATGGGGTAGCTGAGTCTCAACTGCAGCATTTTGGGAGGATGCTTCACGCTGGCTTGGCCAAGGTGTGGAATGCGCCAGACAGAGTGCATAAGCCGCTCTGTAACATCACAGCGTTGGATAAACTTGCAATGACGTGGCTTCAGCGCAATGCAGACACGATTCGAGCAGTTGAATCGGACAAAAACTTGGGGATAGTCCTTACAAGTGTTCCATGGATTTACAGTGAATTGCGCAAACAGCTTCGCTGCTTCACTCCAGTGACTATGCAACAGGCCCTGGAGATCAGAGCAAGGGCCAAACAGCACCTACAGCAGCTGGTGGATAGCGCGTTTGATTCAAATGCCATTACTTGCAGTCAACGTAGATTTCTCTTGGCTGACATTGAGTCCACAAAGTTCGCAAACTTGCGCATCAATGTGAAAGTGCACAAAAGCCCTGTGGAATCACGGCCTTTATCCAACATGAGAGGTACTTTCATTGGGCCCTTCTCATTGTTTCTGAATGCGGCTTTGCTGGATTTCCAAGATGATTTCAAGTCAGTTGTCAGCTCGTCAAGGGAGGTGGTTGCACGTTTTGAAAACTTGCAGCTTGATGCTCATGAACATTTCATGACGTTTGATATCAAAGCCATCTACCCTTCGTTGGACTACGACAGTCGTGGCAAACCGGAGCTTGGGAATTTCTTGGTGCAGATTTTCAAAGCTTTGCTCAAGGATCCACTCGTGCTTGTTGAGCTAGACAATCAGATTGAGTGCTTCAGGCAAACTTCAGGCCTCCCGACAGGTCTGAGTTGCTCAGGCACTATCACCAACATTTTCCTGGCTTGCAAGTTCGACCCTTTCGTGGTGGAACTGCTAGGGTTGCGGGAGTACTCTCGATACATAGATGATGGTCTCTCAATTGCTTCAAAACGTTACTCGAAAGCTGATGTCAGTCGAACTCTGAATTCCTGGCACTCCATGATTGTTGTTCCGGACAAGGACATAGACCTTGCAGAGAACGTGCACTTTCTGGATCTCAGACTGCAGGTTGATGCTTCTCGTAAAGTTTACTTCGAGACTTTTCGCAAAGATCTCGGGATCTATGACTACATTCCTCCCTGCATCTGCACATGCCCGGGGTGTTTTCAAAGGCATTGTCATGGGTGAATTGGTGCGGCTTTTGACTACAAACAGCCGGGAGCAGAGCTTCGCTCAGCAAATTCTTTTCTTTATGAAGCGACTTCGAGCTAGAGGTTATGACATGAGACATGTTTCATCAATCATTGGCCAGTTCCCGTTCAGTCGCAGACAACAGGTTCTTGCAAGGCAACGAAGCAGACGCAAAGTCATACCAACGTTGGGTCTGAAAGTTTGTTACTGCAGAGGCCTGCAAACCTTTCCGTGGGCAGAGTTTGAGAACCAGCTCACGCAAATCATGCGACACATAATCGGTGATGCGAAGTTCCGTGTAACATACACAAGCGGCCGAAACTTGTTTAGAATCCTGTACAGGCACACGTGGCAGGGAGGGAATGGGTGTGCATTTTTTAGACATGTCTGAAAAATTAGAACTATTCCAGTTGCAACAATCAGGTGATGTGGCAAAGTCACATGGCCACGCTCCATCCTGCAGCCCTTATGGGCTCTATTTTGTAGGCACTTAAGCCTTCGAGTCCCGAAAAGAGGGACGAGCTAGCAGCCAGAAGGTTGCCTATTTCTGGAGGCGAAAGGAGCGACGCTGTGTTGCCCTGGCCTTGATACGCTTACTTTCTAGTCTAACCCGCCAGGCAAAGCTAGAACCATGTTAGATTCTGAACCACCTTGAATGGCTCAGGGGTTGGATGTAGGATTTTTGGCTTTTAGGGTGGAAGGTTGCAGATGGAACATTCAGGCTGCACGAAGGGCTGCCTGCTTGGTTACTGTCCTAACCTATTTCTTGTCGAGTGAGATGCAGCATGCTATGTGTGTGCGTGTGTGCCATGTGTGTTGAAGGGTTCACAAGCTCCTGTGAGACATAAAGTGTTAGAGCCAAAACGGTCCCTCCACAATGAAGCTCACGGCAAGTGCCCAATCAAGATCTGCTTTGGAACATGAAGCATAACAGGACGACCACATTCAATATCGGCTTCTACCCTCCGGCATTTATCCCCTTGGTGCTGGGCTTTGTTATCAGTGCAGTTGAGACAGTCGGTGACATTCAGGCGCATCCGGCCAAAGTATATAGATGCATGAGGAACATTGAAAAAAGTCACGACAAGGACAGTAGCGGAAAAGACTGTTGTTGTACTTGATTCCCACGCTATTGTGGACTTGCCGAAGATACTCAACACCAGTGGCTCACACATGCCCACTGCATGGGGTGTGTACCCGACGCTTGCTGCATAAACGTGCATCTTTGCAGCTGGATTAAGCCAGGCCTCTTGAGACGTGAGTGGCCTGCCTATCGAGGGCCCGGATGCGGACTCTCGAATCCAGGGTGGTCTGCTTGCCGATGGCCTGAACAGCTTCCTGGCCTGCCTGATGACCTGCAACTCAGAAGCAAGAACTGCCATGGTATGGCACCCAATCGCACGCTTGCGCTGCACACGGTGTTGTCTGTGTACAATTTAGGCCCGCCCAACACTACCTTCTCTCAGAACAACGGTGTCATTGCCATTACACGCTGTGCATCCCGTGCTGCCGCTTCTGGCTGATCTTGCTCGGCTGCTTCGAGCGCCATGGCACCCCAATCTACTGCAGCAATGCCCTGAGCATATATTATATGGCACCTGCAATGTCACTGTGTAGCTGTGTTCCAGCTGAGGAAGTTTGGAGCTGCCATAGCCTCGATCCCGGATGCTGTCTTGGGCGGTATGACTACCTTCTTGTTTGCAAACGTGTTGGTCTCTGGAGTAAACATCGTTGGTGGCCGCCTCAGCTTGCAATGTTGTAGAGGGGTTCCTTGTTATGACCGGAAACCGGACGCTGCAAAGCGCATCCTCCGCAACTCGATGAGGTGTACATGTACATATACTATTATGCATATATACCAATTTCTTTTATCCTTGTCAAGTCTCAAGTCCTGGAATACCTCCTGATAAATGGGTCTTCCTTGCATCAGGTCATGTGACTGGATCAGGTTCCAGTACAGATTTCAGTCCAATTAATTAGGAGAGACGTAATTGGGAGCAGCATCATTGTGTGGATCCAGGAAATATTACACTTGGGATAGCCAGACCTTTGGAGTGGCTTGGGTGGTGCAAGATTTCCTTTTACCATGGGTACCATGTAGAGCCCCTGCTCAGTGGTTATCCCTGTGTCCGTAAGCCCCACACTCAAACCTGCAAAACTTAAGCCTTGAATTTGAGTCCCTCCACCCTCAGACCTTACACCCGGAGCCTTTTCAGGGCTATGTTGTAGACACAGTTTCAGTTACGCCTTGAACCCTCAGGTGGCAGCGGAAGTATGGGTCGACGTACCCGTTTCATCCTGGCAGTTTCCCTTGGCGTTGCCTGCCTGCATTCTCTAGGGTTGGAAATGCTAAAACAATACGAGAGATGCCGTGGACATTTCATTCATTTTTGCCGACGACCTTAACTCAGGTTCAATGTGAGGGAAGATCTGCAGTTGTTATGACGATGTTGGCCAATCGTTGTGATCGCTTTTGGTCCTTTGCTTGTGTCTGCAAGCTAATTCTAAATGTGGAGGATTGGCAATATGGAAGCCCAAAATATTCCAGAAGCCTGTGGTTCAAATGCACAACTGGAGCAGATAACGTCCTGTTTGTGCACTGTTATGTGCAATCTCTAGAGGAATGAAATCACTTCACTCATCTAAACCAGTTTGCCGACAAGTCTGCAAAACCTCTGCAATCTCAATTTGAAGCTGCACAAAGTCTAAATCCTTCTGCGAAATTTGAACCCGCGAAGTGGCACAAGATCTGCAAGAAATGTTTTGGACTAAGGTCTCTTTCACAGTGAGACTCTAATAATTCTAAATACGTGAATTGGTGGGGGCACCATTGTTCGACAAATTCCCTCTGGTTTCCCCAGCTTCAGTAGTTAATCCGGATGAATCCAGAAGAAGCCTGCAGGCCCGATCCCTACTGGTTTCGCGTCTAAAAGGTCTGACCTGATAAGGATTACTTGAGATCGCCTTAGCACGCTGCAATTTCCCGCGTGCCATACTAGACTTAGACAGTCTGACTGGGTCCCAAAAGAAACTAGTGAACTTTGGATCTGGCAAGGGCTCATTAGGCGTCACTTTCAAGAAGGCGCCACAGTCTGAAAACTTGTTATACGTGCGCTTGTGGTTACACCCTGCAAGTACATGTTGCATCCCATAAAACATGTCTATACCGAGCTGTGCTTCGTGGGCTGCTCAGGTTGGCGTAGGGGTTGCAGCCCTGCCAAATTGGGCGGCCTGGCTGCTACAATACAAGTTTCTGGTAGCCGTCAGCCTCTTTGTTTTCGAGTATCCGCGGAGAAAGATTGAGTCTTGCATGAGCGTGACGCTAGCAATACCTCTGGTAGCAGCAGGTGTGGGCTAGCGAACTGGTGCAACTTTGTCCATGAAAAGTAACAGCTAGACATGCATTCAGCTGTTTGCTTGGGGAGAATCAGAAATCCAGACCTTCCTTTGCACTGAGTAGATTGCTCAAATACATTGCATTCATGTTGATCTCAAGCTTCTGCAGGCTGTCAGGTGCTCAACGGATATGGGAGTTTCTCCAAGTCATAGGGTCATGAGTCATTGTTGCCCACAAAGGGCCAGTGCGGGACGTTTTGACGACAATGTAGCTTGAACGGACAGATGTTCAGTCAGTGTTTAGACCCCTGCCCTGCATGTGGTTGTCATGGATAGGCCGAGTGTGCAGCAGATCGCGGAGCCCGCGTGTAGGAAAGGCCTGCAGCGCCCACTTTTGCAAGGTTCATACTTATTGGAACACCCCAGTCTCATGAGCTCCTATCACCCAAGATGACCGCTGCAAAAAGTGTTCAACTCACAAACATGCCAGCCTAGGGCAGTGAAGCAGGACAACTCTTCGCAAGAAAGAGCAAAAAGCGTTCGAGTGCTGTCATAAACCGAGACTTGTTCGCTTCTGTGCCTGGTTTACTGGATCTAGGAGTCGCGAGTGCTGTTTCGTTGCCGGCATGCATCTGAACCACAACCGGGGCTCCACAGAAACAACACGACAAAACCCTATGTTGTTCCGAGAAGCCTTGACATCCCTTCACCCTGACACATTCATATTTGACCCAAGGCCTGCCATCTAGAGTCTAGACCCTGCCAGTTTGCATGCAGACAGGCGCCAGCTCTTTTGGCAGGACATTTGCACAATCCAGACGACCCCCCGCGCGCAAGACTATCAACATTCACATCCCTGAAGCTCAGGGCTCCAATCACATGGCATAAAGAGTGGATGACACCCTCTGCCGGACCAGTTCATCAGGTAACTGGAACCCCCACACCCTCGACGCCTGAGCCATAAGATATTCAGCCTTAAAACCAGAGCCCTTCCACCCAAAGCGTTTACCCCCTCAATCCTGGAAATCACGCGCCCTCAACTGTGTAAACGTTTGCTGAGGCCGAGGGTGGCGGACTGGCAGGCTTCCACGGTGGTAACCTCAAGCACAACATTGGCCTCTGGCCCGCGAAGGACAGCTCCCTCCTCCCAGCAAGGTTTGCTATGGTAAGTTGCTCTTTCGGACACATATCAGGCCTACAGAGGATTAAGTCGTGCGAAGCATGGTTAAGACTGTCTCAATAAACAGGCGCCTTCCGTACATATACCATATTTACTGTACTGCTCTGAGCCTCGTGCGCTCAGCTCGAACAAGTGCACCGCTCAGAACATCTGCAGGCCATGAACCGACGCGGTTCTGGTTACTCTTCCCTACGGTGAAAGCTATAGAGCTTGTCTAGTTTGAGTCTTATAGAGGTTGATATGTAGCGCCTGTTTTGGATTATTTGCAGCCCTGCAGGGCCCTTGAGCAAATTTGCAAAGAAGGAAGTCGTAAATTGCACTTCAGAGTTTTTCTGCTAGACTAGGGTCCCAACAACATGCGCGGTGCAACCCCAATACGTTCAAGGTTCCGTGTGTTTCAACCCACAATACAAAGGTCCGAACGCTAGCAATTCCAGGCAACTGTTTGAGTCCCGGGTACAAGCTACGCCTAAGGCTATCAAGTGACAGTTTCTAAAGGATTGGGAACGGTCACATGTGTCGCGTACATTGCACCATGTGTGACAGCCAACATTTTTAGGTTGATAGGCGTGCATGGCGGCGATGGTTAGAAAGGAATCCGCGGACCCACCCTCCCCTGATTCTTTTACTTGACGCCTATATGTCCTGCAATAGCAACCTGGTTGTGAATTCCTATTATACTGCAATCCAGGTTTTCGGATCAAAAAAAGCGTCTCATTCAGATACTGTTCAGTGCTCCATTCCGGAGCGGTCTTATTACCATGGCTCACCAAACACGACAGGACGTGTGCAAGGTCTTCCCTACTGAGACATATGAGGCTGAGGCGGCCAAATGCCAGGTCAGCACCTACACTGCCTCCTCAGTCAGCCACTCGTGCCTTTAAGCGTCCGGTCTAGCTGCTTAACTTTTTAGCATCAGAGGCCTCAAACATTAAACCTCAAACACTTGGCTTCCAACAAACAAAAAGGTACCCCAACCAATTGCTGCAGTTTGCTGCGTGGTGCTCCCTTGCGGGAGCTTCTCAAGATGCATCACGGATTGCTTCCGTGGTCCTAAAGTGACCGAGGTTTTTTCAGATGTGTGAACGAGCACCATTGAAACTCCCGTGATACTGTGTTGGGGACTTGGTAACAGGGGTGGTATATCTTTCTGGAGGGCTACTTGTACTTAAGGGCACCTAAATTTTGAGAAGTGACATAAGAAAGCGGCAGGGGAACATGTGGCGCCAGCAAGAGAGCATACAGCACAACGGGGAGAAGGCAGACGCTAGCAGGAACTAAAGAACTGGGATGCAAGGAGGGCGTATAGCCGCAACAGCCTTGGAAAAGCCGAGCTGTTAGCCTTTCTACTTAAGGTTCCCAACCCCACTCAGGACACCCTCGCAGTAAAAGCCACCACGGAATTCAGATGGCTTCCCATGAAGAGGGCCGTAGTCTATACGGGGCGCCTTGTCAGTCCCACAGATTGGCGAAGTGTCATCGGCTGAAGGTGAAGTCGACTGCACTGGCATGGGAGGCACCTACACTGCACCAGTCACGGCCACACGCACTGTCACCACCTGCATTGGAACCAACGGCAACTGCTGTGTAGAGAATCTGGGCCACAGTTGAGCGGGGTTTTGGACGCATGCAATGCTGCCTTCCATGCTTACCGGAAATCACAGACTGTAAACGTAGTTCGTTTCATGACCCGAAGAGTGGCTCAGGTATGACGACAGCAAGAAGATGTGGCGCGACTCCCTCATCATCATCCTCAAGACGCCCTACTGCATCGGCACGCTGCTAGCATTGTTCCTGCACTTGCTGCTTCCCTTCGAGACTGAAGAGGAGGAGGGCGAGAACTTGCAGAAGCTCCCCATTGGTGAGGTTAACCTCTGATGTGGCCTTTCAATTGTTTGATATGTTTTGTGCCAGGGACCTGGTTCTCTGTTTGAGAGAAGCCTTCTTGATACCCTGCAATAGTTTATTCGCATTTGTCAGGTGGAGCCCGACAGATTGCACTGACTCTCAACTCTCTCCTTAGCTGTGGAGCCGCAATCTCCAGGAAGCCTCCTAAAGTACGTACCCGATTCTGGGGTGGACGGCTGCCAGATTCGGCCGCGGCGTCTTCCGAGTTGAGAGTACGCTCAGGCTGTGTCCAGCTAAGCTACCCAAGGTAGCTGTCAGCCAGGTAGAGCCCGAGCCTCGTCAAGAGACGAAAGACCAGAGGTGAAAGTCTGGCTACCCCTGAATCTTCCTCCATATTCTTGCAGCATCATGGCCATCATCATGTGCTCCCACCCACATGGCATGTGCGGCCCGTGCATCCGAGCAAGTACATGTGGCCATCACAGCAGGAGTACGTTTCATGCCAGTTCTGTCAGGTATGGTTTGAGTTTCTCTTTGGCAGCCTGCTGTCCGGCAAGCAGCTCGAGGTGCAACCACTTCAGTATGTACGTTTTGGGTCCAAGGAATGAGAGAGTCTTGATATGTCGCGATTGGAGGGCGCGCTTTAGTGTGAGAAATGTCGCTGTAGATCCTGTTAGCGCTGCATGTTGACAGCTTACATGTTCCATGGCTCTGTCGTCCCAAATTACATCCTCACACCACCCTTTCTTGAGCAGCGCACACGCAATTCCTTTGTTCCCAGTCTAAAGCCTTGAAGCACCTTCGCAGGACTGGAAGACTGTGAACCCTTTCCTCCGGGAGAAGGACCTGTCAACAGCTTGCCGGAATGAGGCTGTTCCAGGCTCCAGGGCCCCAAATTGAGGTGCTTGCAACCAAACTACAAGACATGGAGGGCCCTCAAAGTAAGCACTCGTAATGACATGGCTTTCATTAAACGCCAACGCATGTGTACTACAAGAGGTGCCGGTGCGGTGCAAGAAATCGCTACGTGGCGGCAGGTTGCTTTTGTTCTTTTGAGGCATGAACAAGGACCCCAGGCTCCCCATGCCGGGCGGCTCTCTAGCTTGGGCGGCCACAAGCCTCGGACCGTCGTCCCGCAGAAGCACGCAGTCCTCAGTTATGGGCTCCTTAGACCTCGGAGCCTGGTGCCCGCCCTGGCCCTTATATATGCCCCAGCGTTAAGATTATAAGCCCTACAGTAAACCCAAAAAGCCCGGCAGGAAAGTTGGGATTCTGTTATTCCAAGTCTTTGCCCGTACCCTGTAGGCCTGCAGGTTTCTTTACGGTTTTGCGTGGTCAGGAGCTACAGTTGTTGTCGGACCTCGCCGCCCTGACCATGCCCGGGCTCTTGGCTTGCGGAAGTCCTGGACCTGGACCCTCCTGAACCTTTTACACCCCAGGTTGAAGATCAACTCGAGCTTTGAAGTCGTTTTCATGGTCTGAGTGCCCAATATGTTGAATGGATGTATGCATATATTGTTGATGATTTGACGACCCCGTGGGGATGGGCTCCATAGCAAACATGGAGTCCTTAAACTCTGCTTTTGGGGGGAGCCTGCCAAAGTACTCTAAACAGGGGTAGAGAGGAAAGTACGTGCCAGCAAAATACTGGCCTTATTATGGGCCATTACAAGCTGATACCAATTTAACCCTGTATCTGTATAATCGCATCATCCATCACCTCAGCAATGTGGGACTCTCTCAGAGAACCCCAACCCTCTCAGCAACCCACGAGTCTCGCAAAGTTGGCCGGAAAAATCCAGGTCACAACCAGGCAACATCCAATAGCCATTATATAACTTGTGTTAAATAACGTGTATTACGTGCTATTTAGTAGATAACACTTGTAGTCGCCCGTAGTTTACCTGCCTCGCCTAGGCCCCTCACAAACCTGGCAATTCCTGAAAGTTGACTCAGGCTCCGCTCGAATCGCCTTGGACTACTAAGTCGAGCGCTGGAGGAAAGGGCAGTGAATGCATAGGTACTACGGTTTGCAGTCTTGCCTACGCAAGGCTCAAGCGGCCCATTGCGCATCTCAAAACCGCATCAGAATCCGTCAAAAGACTCAGCTTGAAAGACACCTCCATATACTTAATGCGCAGCTGGAACAGGAGCTGAATCGCGTCCGCTCCGAGGCATACCTGGGCTGGGTCAGACATGCTGTTGCTGTCCTTGAAGGGAGCAAGCACACAGCAGATGGCAGAAGTTATGGGCCTCTTCTTCTGAAGGACCCAAAAGTTGAGGGTCTGTTTGTGTGTAGCTCCACATAGGTATACCATGAAAGCTTGATCGTGAAAGTACGGGGCCAGCAGGCTTCCTGGGAAATTGTAAACAGGACATTCATTCCAGCGTCCTGCGCCGCTATCTTTTTGGGGGAAACTTGCCTTGAGCATTACACCACTCAAACCACGCTCCCGATTGGCATCCTAAGATCCACATCTTACACAGTGTGTGGGAATGACTAAATTTTCATCTGTGCCTGTGCATGTGTTCACACATATCTACATAAGGAAGACCGTTGCCGCGAAAAGCATGGCTACAGCTGCACAGTGGATCAGGCCTCTAAAGCTCCATTTACTTACAGCTTGGTATCGTGCTTTTGGAACTGCTCCAAGTGGCCTTCACCCACCACCTTGGTGACACAGGCTCTTCGAAGGTTTCTGGACAGACTGTTTTTTGTGGCCGTCTTATGTGTCAAGAAAATGAAGCAATTTCAAGAAAGCAGGCATGCAACACCTTGGGGACCCAATTTCAGGAACAGCTCCCTAAACCCTACCCCACCCTGAGCCAAGAGACAAGGAAAGTCTAAACTGCGAGAGTCGACGAACCTGTTTCAGTGGCACCCATCATTTTTGCGCGGGATATCTGCCCACGCCCAAGCCACATGCGCACCGAAATCTGCCCCGCTGGATCTTGTGACACGTCATGTGAGCTGTGTGGCAAAAATCGTGCCAGCCTTACAATACCACCCTGATCAGGTACGGCTCCTGGAATCAGGCACACCCCTGGCGGACCGGAAGTTATTGCTGGCCCAGGCGTTAGTGTGTGGGTTTCCTGAGCGGGATATGCAGGGCTTGGAAAGGGCCTGGGATTTTCAAGAATATGGTCTCAATTCTGAACGCCCAAATGAAGGATAGTGGCCCTTCACAAGCATTCTTGGTTCCTCCGGGTACGTGGCAAAGTGCACCAATGAAAAAAATGCTTAAACAGCATTCTGTGAGTTCAGGGCTTGATCGCAGTTGGCCGTTGGCTGCATGTTCTCGGTACGCCTTGTTGGGTCCCGAAGCTTTGTAGTTTCCAGTGGGCGGGAACAAGATGATGGCGCAGCGCAGCCGATGACTTTACAATTGAACAAGAGCGGCGACGTGTGTGCTCACAATTCAAAATGGTAACTGCAGAACAAGAAGCTGCTTTGACATCACGTTTGGGCGTTGCCGTTGGAAAACGTATCTCTGCTTCACGGAAAATGATACATGCTATCAGCCTTGCGCGTGCGGCAGTGACATGTAAGTCTGCAAGACCAACTGGCACGCCGGCATGGCATGGCCAGCGGCGTGGCACGTGTCTCTGGTCTGCATTGACCCGGCAAGGTTGCAGTAGCACCATTCAAGCAGCAATGACAATATGGCATCAAACAGATTGGCTCTCATTCTTTAAGCTCCACTAGTCCTGCCACCAAAAGAGGCAACCCCAAATCGACCCCAACCAAGGCCCGGATTGTGATTCTGAGCCTCCAAGCACCCAATGCTTGGTTATTTGAGCTTTCTGGTTTTAGTACTTGCAGTATGCGTTTTGGGAAAGCATCTGAGCACTTTTTTTAGAAAAGGCCGGAGACAACGAGTAGAGGTCCAGAGAGGATGCGGATTTTACTTGGAGGCTGCTAGGCTTAGCTCCGGCTGAGCTGTAAACAACAAAAATGCAAGGTTGTTTTCCACATGTTTCTTCAATCACTATGCCATACTAAGCCTTTACTGCTGAATGAAGTCGACTTACTGCTTCTTAGTAGGATATTCCGATATTCCCTTATTCCCTGCTAAGAACGAGGAAGTCTGGGTTGCACAGCATGAGCGCCACTCCGTAGCCTTCATTGGAAGTCGTTCACAGGCCTCTTCAGCACTGTCAGGAACACTGCCAGGACCACAGATGATGGCAATGGGATTAGGGGCAAGGGTTTCAAGCTGAAGGGGTCATGGTTCAGAGTTCACGGGTTGAGTGTTTGGAATTATTAATCTAGTCTTCTGGCGTTGGTATCTGTTTTGCTTCATGCACGGCTATGTTGAGATTAGGATTAGGGCTAGGATGTTCCGTGCCAATTATCTAAGCCTATGCGCTGGCAATCGTGCTTCAGGCGTTAGGGGTTGGGGTATGACTCGCTATAAAGGGGCGGCAGCTTGGCTCCTGAGCTGGAAAGGCCTTAAAAAAGGTGGGTTTTCAGTATGTAGGTACTCTTCGTCCACGGATTCAGCATACACAGCTGCTGCTGGAGTCTAAAGCCTTGGGGGCCAACGAAAGTACATTGAGTTGGTGATCTTATTCAACATTAACTAAGACTATTGTGGGTACTCGTTGTCTACCCAAGGATGATCTCAAAAAAAGTTCTGAATCAAGCCATAGTTGATGCCCAGACTGCTTTTCGGACAGCTGAGAAGGTCTGGAACTGGAATAGCTTCTGCAAGTGTTGCAGAAACCCGCACCCATATGGTTGTTGACTTCTTTTTTTGGGTTGAAATTGCTTTTCAAAGCGTTTGTGCTGGTGGTCGAAGGTAGTTTTGCTGTGCTGAAGTGGTTTCCCGACGCTGTGGGCTGTGGTCGGTTGTTGACTATTCTAAGCATTGGCCAATCTTTGCACGTTTTCATTTTGCATGTGATAAGCAGATGTCTGTAATTACATTTGATTGCTCATCCTGATTGAAAAGGGTTCCTGTTACACAAGCGCATACAGCTCCTGAAGTTTGATCACCGATTATTCAGAAAGCCGCAGGGCCACATGC